CCAAAGGTTCATAGAAATTAGTGACGTTTAACACACGCACACTAGCGGGTGCATCACCGTGTAAGCACCGACGAACCGACGTGACAGCTCATACAAGATATATTCAAATTCATGCCCAAGATACCACATTTAAAATACTTTAAACACTACCGCCATCTACTCATCCGATCGCATCGTAGAATTTATATTACCTTGGTTTGCGTCTCACCTCGTTTGACAGTTCTGATCGCCCGTTTGATAGTTCGAATCGCTCATTTGACAAATTGAATTGTGGACAAACGAAATGCTCCTGTGGTATGTTGGTGGTGTAAAGTTGTTTTATAATTTCCCTCAGGCTAACCTAAAAAACGTATGAAATTAGATCTGTCAAAATAAGTTTGACAGCGATTTGTTATGTATTTTGCTAACACACTAAGACATATCGCACAAATACAACCAGACGTGAAAATCTCTTTATTGATAAATTCTGAATAGCAATTTCGCCCTTGTTAAATGTTGGCATTGATTTTGTTGCACAGTGGTCCAGAACGGAAAAATACATGGAAATTGGGTTTTCCGCAAAATCTACTGGTTGTAGCGTTTTGATATCTTCGAAAGAATTGTTGGTACCGTAAAACGGGGTAACATTGATAGTTTTTAAAGTATATTCTAAATATTTTTTACAGCAATGACTGTTTTTCAAATTTTATATTTTAAAACAAGTACTGAGGATCCAAGAGTTAATTCGTTAGTAATATGTTTAACGGAAATTAAAGCATTTGCACTATTTTTTAGTTTTGTGGCCGAACATCAGTATTTTGATTTGGGGTTACTTTGATAATGCTCGATGAATGTAAAAAAAGAGGGTGTAACTCAAACAATTTTGTTCTTTAAATATGAAACTTTGAATGAGTATATAATCTGAAAACATCATAAGCAATAAGAATACAACATTGAATTTGTGATGGCTATATTGGAAATACATTTCATAAGCGATGGTTTGAGTGCTTTTTCAAACAGGCGAAAAACACGAAAATTGTTTTTTAATATGTTTGTAAAATATGTAACACATACTATGTAAAAACTATATACGATATCAACGGAAATACCCTATGGAATCAATGTTTCTGATTTGGAAACAGCGCAGCGAGTAAATTTAATCATTGTATTATACTATCAAAGTTACCCGCATTATCAAAGATACCCCGTTTTACGGTAATAAAAAAGCGCATATTTTCATTGGATCAGTCATTAGGGTGATTCAGTTTTAGGGTGACTTCGAAAATCTAACTCCTCAGGGAAATTTTTGGGAACTTTTTTTACTTCTTCAAAGTTGTAGAGGATGCAAAACCAAGCAACTTTGTCGAAGACGTCAAACTTTTATCTCATCATCTACGAACTGAAACAACAGTTTTTTACCATAACCTTTTTTGCTTTGTATTTAGAGAAAACTATTCTTCAGAACACTTTTAGAACTTTAAAAAGCACACATTTTGATTACCCAATTATGACGTTTGGACCACTGAATCAAAAGATATTTAAGGTGAAATTTCCCTGAAGAGTTAGATTTTCGAAGTCACCCTAAAACTGAATCACCCTAATGACTGATTCAATGAAAAGATTCGCATTTTTATTACCAACAATTCTTTCGAAGACATCAAAACGCTACAACCAGTAGATTTTGCGGAAAACCCAATTTCCATGTATTTTTCCGTTCTGGACCACTGTGCATTGGTAGCAATTCGAAAAACTGTAAAACTTTACAGAGGTGCAGGTAATTGTGTTAAGGTTCAGAGAACTTCATATGAGTTCGATACAATTTTTGAAAGATCAGTGAACTTCGTAAGAAGTTTAGGGAATTTCGTAGAAGTTTAGTTCTTAGAACTCCAGGGTTTGTTTTGGGAACTTCGTTTCGCCCAGATGTTCAGGATAATTCATAGAAAAGGTTCAATGTCTTCCCGGAAGTTTGAAGATGTTCATGAATGTTCTGAGATCTTGATCGAATTAAGAGAACTTTGGAAAAAAATATTATGGAACTTGGAAGAAGCTCAGGTCTGCCTTTAGAAAATTTCAAAAAGTAAAGATAAGGGAACTTTATAGATGTTCAGCAGAGCCGTCTTAACCACCCCTGGTTTTTTTTTTATTACGGGTCCCCTATAATTTGATATTAATTTTCAAATTCTAGCACTCTTGATATAAAAATAGGTACTTGTGACAATTCTTTTTCGTTTAATTTTTTTATCTAACCTGCTTTTATTTTAAAGCATTTAAAGTGAACAAACTAAATTTGTTCCCGACTCCTTATACTTGCGAATTTTTTAAACATATATGTATTTATATATCGTATTTCGTACTCAATTTACATGGTTTACATTAATCACTCATTTTAATCTATCTTGAAATAAATATCCAGAGGATTATTTCAACATAAAAAAAAAAAAAAAACAATTTCCCAAATAGAAATGTTGGTTTTATCACAGCCTTGTTGCCTATTGTGGGTTCTTTCGATTCTCACTGGTAATCATCCAGCATATGGAAATGTGGGATTGCTCGTAGCATACACGTCTTACCTCCAGTAAAGTCAACAGTCGAAAAAGACGATGCATTATGCCACGTCACTGATGACCGAGCTCAACTCTGACCGAATGTCTACACTAATCTCCAAGAACAGCAGGGATGTACTGACGCAGGGTTGAGTACAAATTAGGATGTACAATAAACTAAAGGTGGATATTCCTCTATCCCACACCTATGTTTTGGACTTATAGAATACTTTAAAACCTGGATAATTCTTGCAATACTATTTGGGTTCAGTCCATATGTCAATATTTAGTTTGTACAACTCATCTTCTTCTGGTTTCCGAATAAACTAAATGGATTCGAAAAAAGTTCAAGAACTGAGTGGAAGCTCAAGAAACTTTGTGTACATGAATTATCTAAGAATTGCAATGAACTTCGTTGATCTTCACTTATTTTCACAAAGATATCAATAATCTGGTTATTTTTCAAAACTTTTCTGAAGATCTGCAACTGATCAAAAATTGAAATATACAGGTTGGTGTGGAAGAATTTAAAATATATCCAGATGATTGGAGACTTCTATGAAGTCCTCCGGATATTTTTTTACAAGGCTTCGGGTCGATTGAGTATTATTTTGAAGATCTTCAACTATTCAATAAATTTAAATGACGTCTCCAGATATTCTCCCAAAATTGCTAGTTGATCGGATAGTATAATGTGAATTATTTGAAAGACCTCCAGCTGATCATAAATTTCAATAAAATCGTCCGGTTAATTTTGCAAGACTTCAGATTGGCAAGATGAAGATCTGAAGATCTTCAGCTATCCTCTGGATATTTGAATGGTGATGTTCAATCTAAGGATTCTGAAAAACTGTTTAAAAATTCAAATGACGTCACTCAGATATTCTCCTAAGACGGTAGGTTGATCAAGAAGTATTCAAAAGATTTCAGTAAAGTCCTGTGGATACCCAAGTAACAAGTATGGTTTAATGAGGGTTCTATAGATATTATTTAGAGTTTTACAGCGTTTTAAAACCTCTATCAAACATGCAATCAAGTTTAATTCTAAAAAAAAAGATTTTGCTACATAATTGATAATAACATTGTCAAGGAGCTTAAATTGTGAAGCAAACATCTTCCCATGTCTGCTTAAAATTTACAAAACGTTCAGAAGTCTCTCCAAGTTCAACATGTCTTCAAATATCTTCACAGAACTGAATGTGTTCAAAATGTCTCCAGAAACAAAATGTCTTCATAGAATTTCAAATGTCTGCAAAATGAAGACATGTCTTCAAATCTGGCGTCCCTGCCATTACCTTGTTAATTGTTTTTTTACGCCGCACTTTCAGAGAGCAGCATTGGTAAACATACAGGATAATTTGTAAATGTACAGTTGGTTGTGAATTTTGTGCATTCAATGTAGACCATTTTGGGCACAAGCTTCTCTAGTTTGATATAAACAAATCTTTAAAACTTGAACGAAATTCAAAACAATTATTTATGGGTTGACAGCTAACATAATATGCCGTTTTTTTTTTTTTTTTTCCTTTGATTTGTTTTCCGTCGATCTTGTTTTCCGTGCTGAGCACCAATGCTACCGACGCCAGAGAGGCAGCTCCCACACCTGGACCCTACCTATCGACCCATCAACTCATGAACCGGGGACCAACGGCTTTACTTCCCTTCCGAAGGAAGGCGTGATCAGAGATGTTATGCCTCAGAACATCCCGGCGGCGCCGACTGGGATTGAACCCAGGCCTGCTGGGGTGAGAGGTAATCACGCTTACCACTACACCACCGGCGCCGCTGTAATATGCCGTTGATTGCCATAAAAATCTCCAAAATGAAACATTTCGACTTGTTCCCACTTGTGTCCGATCTATACGGGAAGCCGATCAAAGGATGATTATATTTCAACCAAGTATCAAATAATAAAACAATAATTTCGTGTTTCAACTGCACAAAGCGAACTACCAAACTAAATAACTTAAAATTTAACTTCCTGTTTTAATCCAATTAGACATTGTTTTACGACCAACAGTCATGGCCCATAAACATGAATTTGACTTTCAGTCACCGCAACAACAGTATTATCTCCGGACTCAAACCACCCAACAACTCCACTCGGCCTACCCTCTCAGAGCAAAACCTCGGCGTTTCAGCTGCCTGCCACTACGACATAATAGGTTTGATGCGATGCATCACCGTCACCTTCTCAGTCACGATGATGGATGGATCGAGTTCGGGAGGTTTACCGGGTGAGGAGAAAAAAATAAACGTCTCCGATGCGCTTGGCTTGATCGCACGCTTCTTGGCCATGATCTTGTGCTTCTAAGTAGCTTTTTTCGTCCCTCAATTCCATCGACGTCATCGTCGACAGCATTATACAGTAGTGCAATTTAAGTTCGTTTATTGGCACTTTTCCGCTGCCGATCGGAAGCCATATTTCACGCCACCTCCACACCTAACTAAACAGTTTTTCTTGTTTTGCCTTTTCAGGGCCGTGAGCTTTCCACGTCTGAGCTCGTCCCGGTCATAGCGGGCCTCTCGACGGCTCATGCGGAAGCTGTCAAGCATCGCGTAAAAGCCCTTAATCGAACTGTCCGCGGAAGGACACGCAACCGAGGCAGCAAAAAGCCGGACATCCGCGATGTCTTCCGAGATCTAGATTCGTCCAGCACGGGAACCCGTTCACGAAGTGCCACACCGGATTCACTGGACTCGCTGCCAGGCGATGACAGCTGGAACAACGGTACCACTAACAACAACCACCACCATCATCATCATCATCCCCATATCCCGAGCTTTGTGTCCGTATTCGACGGAGGTAATGGAGTTGTGCGACCGACACCGATTCGCGGCAAACAAAACCTGCGACGTACACCAAGTGCCCCGCTACGCGGCTCAGCGGAACTATTTCGCGGGTCGCACGTTCGCTGTGATATTCCCTTCCACAATGGTGTGTGAAGTTTACAGTGGTACCTATCTTAGTAATTTCGGTTTAATATCGGCTCATTATTCTTTTACAGAGGGCATAGAGTTACTGAACTTCCAGAGACTGGGAACCATACACATACCAAGGATTCGATCGGGATCCGATCCTTCTTGCACGATTGGGTAAGTTTCCGTTCACCCCACCCGTGTAATAGATCGGTACTAATTGTCATCTTCGCTCTGTAGAACGCATGGCGGTCAACACATTTCCGGAACACGTAGCCATACGAACCTGTACAATGATAATCAAAGTAACGAGGATTCGGGAAACTCGTCGTCGGAGCAAAGTCCCCCGAACTCACCGCCTCGCAGCAGTCTGCTTTGTTCGGTCGAGAACTCTCCCCTACGCTCGTCCTACGAACCAGTCAGTTTCGAGAGCATGATCAAGCAGACATCAACGCCCCACGAATCATCACACAAACTATGGCAGCTACAGGGCCTCCACGAGTCATGCTGCGATATCGATAATGTGTCCGAAGGGGACTTCAAACGCCTGCAACCGTTGTTGTGGCTGGAGCTGGCCTCCCTGTTTGACAAGAATCACGTCGCCCTAGACAAACGGAAACCGTTCAAAAGAAAACGAAAGGAGGAAGGCAATGTCTTTGGAGTGTCACTAAATGCCCTGGTGAGACGCGACCAACAGATTACCGGTGAAGATACCACCCTTGTGCCTCTGATATTGCAAGCGATCTTATCCGAGCTAAGGTTACGCGGTGCTAAAGAGGAAGGCATCCTGCGAGTGCCAGGACATAAACAGAAGGTACGTAGCCGACGGCACAAAGCAAGATTGTATTCTAAAATTGAACGTTTAAATCTTTACCAACAGACCGAAACCCTCTACAACGAAATCGAACACAACTTCTACTACAAACCGGAGAAAGTGGAACCCTTGATCAAGAAGGCAGGCGTGCACGATCTCAGTGCACTGCTGAAGCGATGGCTGCGAGAACTACCTCAACCTCTGCTGGCAAACGATCTTGTGCATTTATTCTACCAAACGAACGGTAAAATCACAACTTCGTCATCGCAATATAAGAAGAACGTCCAAAATTAAGGTAAACGATTTTTTATCCACAGTTCTACCTCCACGCGATCAGTACAAAGCATTGGCCGTGCTCTGTCAGCTGTTACCACATGAGAACCGCAACACCCTGCGGGAGCTGCTGACGTTCTTCCGATTGGTAGTGAATTTGCAGGATACGAACAAGATGTCCCAGCAGAACGTGGCAACCATCATTGCACCTTCGCTATTTCCGCCAAGGTATGTTACTTATTAGTTGTGATGACGCGTTAATTTTGTATCTGGTTTATCTATCGGCGCATCGATATTATGTTATCCCTTAAGACGTTAGAGGTTTGGTGTCTACGAATAGGTTTCTGGAGAAATTAAACTCCTTCTGGAAGTATACTAGTGAGATGCAAATGTAACTGAAGTGAAGGTAGACAAATGGTGTTTTCAGCAAAGTTGTAGGAAAAATTACTACAAGCAATTTTACAGAAGACACCACAGCTCTATATATGGGGCACGCAATCTACAGAACCGGTGCGTCGGAGCTATAACCTGGTTACGCTTAATCCGGTTCAGTAGAACGGCGATGTAAATTATGACAACGAAGAAATCCTGCAATAATATGGTGCGGTACCAATACAGATTTAATCGATTATTTTCCAGGAAAGAATCGGGCTGGTATTTTGGCATAAATACCTTCAAAGGCCATAGTTTTGCGGCAACTGTTTGTGTTCATTTTCGATGACTTCGTTGTTATGCGAGTACCGGACCGCCTTCCACAATATGGTGAATGATTTTCGCAGGTTGATGACACATTTGGTAAATTTCCTTAACGTTTTGGTGCCAAATATACCACCGGTTGGAAAATATCTCAACTTCCCTGCGCATAGAAGTATGATTCTACTTGCCACACAATTATTAATGCGAAAATGGTACAGGTATCGAAAGCTCTCAATTAATTACTGCCGAAGTGCATCCTTAGAACACTAAGTTGAGAACACGCAATAAGCTAATATGCGATAAGCAATAAGCTTGAAATGCGAAGAAGAAGAAGAAGAAGAAGAAGAAGAAGTGCAACACCTCTGCCAGTAGTACAAAATACTCGGTAGACTTCGTGTCGTGTGGTGTGGTAATCACCACGAAGTACTGCGGCAGGTGTCGCACAGTGCTTGTTGATTTCTCGTTAAAATTCTGCCTACCGACACCAGGGAGGAACCGGCGCCGGTGGTGTAGTGGTAAGCGTGACTGCTTTCTAACACCCCAATGGGTCTGGGTTCAATCCCAGCCGAGGTCGGTGGGATTTTTCTGAGGCATAAAAATCTCTGGTCACGTCTTCCTTCGGAAGGGAAGTAAAGCCGTTGGTCCCGGCCCATGTGTGTTGTGAATGGGTGCGATATCCTACGCAGGTGTGGAAGCTGCCTTCCTTGCACATTCGATTGTCGTCAATGGATGGCAATCGATGTCCGTCGGTGATTGGCACTAGATTTCGGAACAGAGACCGACGTTAAATAAAGGAAAGAAAGACACCAGGGAGGCAGCTTCTACACCTATCGATCCAGCAACTCATGAACCGGGGACCAACGGCTTTACTTCCCTTCCGAAGGAAGGCGTGATCTGAGATGTTATGCCTCAGAAAATCCCGGCGGCGCCGACTGGGATTGAACTCAGGCCTTCTGGGGTGAGAGATAATCACGCTTACCAATGCACCACCGGCTGCGCTCAAAAATTCTTGTTGAATAAATTTTAAATTTTACGAGCTATTTTCTTATCGATCCCCATAAAATTCTACTAGTACCTAATACCTAGTAATTTCAAAAATGTTGTTTTCACAAATCTCGGTGAAATAGGGGAAATGGCTTTAATATTCGGCCCATCGCTAAAAATCTGCTATTTATCAATTTTATCTAGATGAACGCATCACGGTACTAATGGATATTTTTGGTCGCTATTGAAAATTTAGTCGATTACTGAATTTATGTATAGGCCCAAATTAGAGACATTTAGGCCGACATTACATCCATTTCCCCTATTCTAAAAATTACTTTGGAATTCAATTCAGAACTTCTTTTCTTCTTCTAAGAAATTATTTGGAATTCATCTCAGAATCCCTTAGCACATTCTCTGAGTTATCTTGGAATTTTGGTCAGATTTGCCTGGATGTTTACAAGAAGTTAGTAATTATTATTCTCTGAATTCATAATAATTAACCCATTAATTCCTTTTCAATTCTCCAAAAAATGTCATAGGTATTCTCCTTAAAATTCTACTAAATTTCATATTGAATTGTTTATTTTTGCCTCAGAAAATACCAACGGCGCCGACTAGGATTGAACCCAGGCCCTGTTGGAGTCCTAACATTCTTCCAAGTTGCAAAGCCTTGAAAATTATCAGGACCAAAATAATGATTTAGTTAAATCTGGGTTCTTATAAATTTTCCAAAATCCCATATTTGCAGTATTTTTATCAATCCCATATTTTAAATAAAATTCAATTCCAGAACAACGTCTTAGAGAACTTAATAGATTTTAAATTTTCTCCTCAGAATCACCCAGAAATTCTGCTTTTAGTGCTCTTCACATATCCCTGGGAATTCTCTAAGAGTTTCTTATAACTTAATCTCAGAATCATTTTGAAATTATAGTCCAAACTCCGTTAAAGAGATGAACCAGCCTCTGCCTGAAAGTTTCGCTAATAAACCTAACCTAACCTAACCAAACTCCGTTGAACTGTTTTTCAAACTTTTGAAGAATTTGGTAGAAATAATTCTGCATTAAATAATAATTAGAGTATTAGAACCCTGCACTTGTTTAATAATTAATTCATTTATCATTAGAACTCTGGACATGTTTCAAAGTTTTCAAGCAAAATTTTTTGGCGGCCTTATTTTTTTTTTTTTTGCAAGTTTGGGATCTTGGAAATTTTTCCAAAATTCCAAATTTCAACTAACAAATTTCGAAAAAAAAACATTCTCAAACTATGTCAAAGGTTCAACATTATGGAGATTTTTTTAAATTATGTTTTGAGACGTTTGTCACGAAATGTTAAAACATTACCTTGCTTCGATATATCAAGTTCAAGATTTCTAAAACAATTCCTTCATTTAAATTTTTCACTCTAAAATTCAGCTTAATGACCTATTCAACATTTTCGTTTCTTACTGAACATTGAAAAACCGGGAAATTTTGGAGATCTAAACTAAGAAAAAAAGGGATTTCAAAATAAAAATTCGCTAGCCACCCTGAGGAATGCGCTGTGCACTTTACTGCTTCAGAGCAGTGATGCAAAATATCATGACACTCACTCGACACTCGTCAACGCATCAACCGACTATCGCTGACAGAACGTTTTGTCACAAAGTGAGAAGTAGAGCCATGACAAACAACAATCACCGGTAATGGTCGCTGCTCACAGGCAAAACGTAACACTCGCTGCTGATAATGTAAAGCGCAACGAAAACAGAGCGAAACGACAGAAGAAATGACTGTGTGAGTTACAAACAAAGCTGGCAAAATTAAACGGAAGCTGTTGGGCTCACTCACCAACACACTCACATAAGCAAGCAAAGCAGCAACTGCTTCAAAAACGAGAACAGATGAATGTCGTGATTGTCGAGAATGACCAGATCGGTGATGGATCACTACCGAAGACGACATTCACCAGTTGCTTTTTACTTCTTTCGTTAACTTGATGGATGGTATTGGAGAGTGCTTCGACAAGCAAATTGATAGGAATGTACCAAGCGTTACTACCATCAGCTGTTTGACGATCGTGATTGTGATAGGTTGCAACTCTGCTCCAGAATGTTTTTGCCATAACCCTTTTGAAGGTTGGAAGAGGCTCGAGAGTATCGATCGTATGCTGATTTGAAATTGATGAATAAGTGATGTGTGGCCACGTTGCAATCATAAAAACCTGGTCCGTGTTAGTGTGGCCACCCATGAATCCCACCTGGTATTACCCCATGAACTATTTTGCTATCGGTGATACATGGATATTTAGGAAAGACCCTTGAAGGCGGTGCCCAACAGTGTAATCACGCGGTAGTTGCAGCTATTTAACTTGTTACTTGGTCGACCAATCTCCTCCTCGGCTTCTTGAAGGCCTCAAACCGGGACCCTGTCCTCTTTTTCGAATGCTGCTAACTATGTTACCGTGCCACTTAGGCTTTCTGCTTCTCCACTGTTATGGTGCTCGTCCTAGTACTGCTTCAACCTCTCGATCGCCTCACACTCGTTCCTGATAAAATGTTCGTCCAAGTCTCTGCACATATCGTCTAACGGCAGCTACGTATGAATTTTGGTCGAGCTCCATGTCCTCGTGCTCCATTCTTATTCTCCATTACATGTTTACATTCGCCTTCAGACCAGTCATTTCTTCAGTTCGGGCGGGTCGTACCTCATAGAAATTACATAGGGAAAATGTTACATTTTTCCCCCATACGTTTTCTTATTGAGTTTTTATTGGAAAAAAGTAGCGGCAGTGCGGCAGTGCTTCCTAGCGAACCGGATGTCCGTCCAGTTATCTTCAAGAATAGCTGCACCATACTGCACTGAAGTAGAACTTCACGTAAATGCCATTGGTGAAATCCTTTAAATTTCATTGGATGTCCAATGAAGATATCGCTTTGAAAAATCCAATGAAAGTTATGTGACAATGATTTTGACCATCATTTAAGACATATATTTCGGAGAACAGTAGCCATCTGGAAAAAAATATACGTTTTATAGGATTTTCCAATAGTACAATTTTATATTTGAAAGTCAATGGGTGGCGCATCTTTTCTATACCTTCTGTCCCGTCTAACAAAACTCCTTCAGCGCTACAACTTCGAAGTTGCCTGGTTGGAGCTCGTCGTAGATTAACCTATCACAAAGCGACTTGTATAGCGGAGCCGGTGGTGTAGTGGTAAACGTGATTACCTCTCACCCCAGCAGGCCTGGGTTCAATCCCAGTCGGCGCCGCCGGGATGTTCTGAGGCATAACATCTCTGATCACGGGAAGTAAAGCCGTTAGTCCCCGGTTGATGAGTTGATGGGTCGATAGGTAGGGTCCAGGTGTGGGAGCTGCCTCCCTGGCGTCGGTAGCACGGAAAACAAGATCGACGAAAAACAAATCAGGGAAAAAAAGCGACTTGCAGTTCCATGTTCCAAGTTTCCAACCCCCTGTCTCGGTGGAAGACCATCGTGCACAACTCTGTCTAGAATTTCACGCTGTTTTGAGCCGCCCCCAACATGGAGAACAGACGCTCGGATTGGCTGCGTCCTCCATATAAAGGAGCCCGCTCCTTTCCTGTCCAAATCCCACCGGAGTAGGTTACCCGATATTACCTATGCAGGGTATCTACTACCTGGTAAAACCAGGAAAACCTGGAATCATCAGGGAATGTTATTTTAATTGAAAAAACATGAAATTCTTTGACTATATGTTTAGTATTACTTCTGCGTGAAGTCAACGATTTACATAGTTGAAGATGCTATTTCGAATAACAGACTGACCTTCCTTAAAAGTTATCCTAGCTCGCTATCTACTTTCTATATGCAATTTTCACACTGCCGTAATCTAAACGGAACTATCAATTCTATACTTTCATCTCCTCCTCATCTATCGTATAAAAATTACAACTTCAGTCTGTTATTCGAAATAGCATCTTCAACTATGGAATTCTTATTCAAGCATGAATGAAAATAAATATTCAAGGCAAATTCCAAGAACGTAGATTTCAAATAAATTAAGGGCCTAATAAAAGTTTTCAGTGTTCACTCGGCTGTCGACAAAAGCAGGCCACTCTCGATGTGTGCTACGCGATCGTCTGTTTTCTCGGCAGCAACCATTGTGTGGCCTCCTCATTGTTCTTCATCAGCAGTTCTTTCGGTCGATGCGTCGTCGACTTTGGAAAGCAACCGTTTCGGGGTGAGTGTGTGAGTGCTGACCACGTTTTGCGTCCATTGCTGCAATGGAAGCGCTCTGCCCCTCGTTGGCGTTCAGCAATTTGCCATACAATGAAACTACTGGAAGCGGCTCCAGTTCTGATGGAGGAGGCTTTTTGGATAGCGGAAGATAAAGTGTTTATTGTGTTGTACCTTTTGACTATAGTTTTAAGATATATTGTTTAGTGACCAAGAATCCTCGGCTCTGTAAAGTTAATTCGGTTAAACCTTATCAAATAAATTAATAAATAAAAAAAAAAAGTTTCAAAGCTTATGAACTTTAATGAATAAATTTTATGTAAAATTACCAAGGATCTCAATAAATAATTTTTAGGGAATTCAGTTAAAAATATCAGTGGATGATTTTTTAAGGAAGTGAAATCTGAGCATTCCTTACTAATTAATTCTGATGAACTCAAGACTCCAGGTGAAACGTAAGGAGAATTTCAAGTTGGTTCTAAGTAGCATTCCGAGGAAATACTGAGTAGATTTCAAAGAAAATATACAACAAAAATCTGTGGAGCATTCCAAGGCGATTACAAAGAGATTTGTGACTAAACTTTGAGGAAAGTTTTAAAGAAGTACTATGAAAACTTTCAAGTTTGTCCCTGAAATCATATTTAGATAACTCAAAGAAGAGATCCTAGGGATTTCTGAGGAACATTTCATAGAGCGGAACCATTTCCAAGAGAATTATGAGCGAAATATAGAGGGAATTCCGAAGATTATTGTATCGGAATAACAGAAGAATACTTAATAAATAATGAAGAAAGATGTTTTTAGGAGAATTCTTTAAGGAATTCCTCGGTAATAATAAATTGTTCAGAATTTTGTGAAAATCGTAGGGTGAATCAATCAAATCGTTCTCTAGAAAATTTCTAGAGTATTATGGAGCAAATTGTAAGGGAATGCCTAAGATGAACTGAGAGGAAATGTTGAGTAAATTCAAAGGAAATTCTTGAGACAATTCGAACAAAAATCCTGCGTCAAAATACAAGTTGATTCAAATATAGTATTTTTATCGAGATCACAGAAAAAAAGTTCTGAGACATCGGAGTTTTTTTTAGTTTATATTAAGAAAAATCTTCAACACCAATTCAGGACTTATAAAATGAGAGTTCGTAGACCAATATTCCGGACGTTGGGAAATTTCCAAGATTCTGGAACATAAGAAGCTTTAATGATTCAAAACTAACACAAATGTGCGAATTGCCATATTTCCAAATTTTTAATATTCATAAATCAACTTAATTTATTTTTAAGCTTCTGGCACATAAGCCTGAACAAATTTTCAAAACTTTTGGTTTTTGTAAAAAATTTGCACCTAGTACATTGTAAAATTGTTGAGAAATCGGAATTAGTAATATACAATATCGACCACTAGAAATAAATTTCTTTTGATTTGAAATATTACCTGGTTATTCAAGATTTTGCACTCCTCGAAACCTATCCACGTAAAACGTTTTTTATGTGTCCTTGATTTGTTTTCCGTCGATCTTGTTTTCCGTACTGAGTACCAATGGTTCCGACGCCAGGGAGGCAGCTCCCACACCTGGACCCTACCTATTGACCCATCAACTCATGAACCGGGAACCGACGGCTTTACTTTCCCGTGATCAAAGATGTTATACCTCAGAAAATCCCGGTGGCGCCGACTGGGATTGAACCCATGCCTTTTAGGGCGCGAGGGACGTAAAATGTTCCTATGACAAATAAGTATCACACATTAGTAAATCTTTTGTTAAAGTATTTAAAATTAAGCAATAAATTAATTATCATTAATTTAAATTGTGATTGTTCAATTTGTGTACCATTAATGAAATTTTTTTTCTATTTATGAATTTTTTATGAATATAGTTATTAAATTAATTTTCTTTAGTCTAGAATCTCGAATGAAAAGATCTATCCTCTCATCAATGAAACAATTGTTTGATTTTGCAAATAATTTAAAGTATGTCTTTCAATTTCTACTACAATAGATCAAATTACTGGTCGCAGTGGTGTTACGTCCCGAACAGAAGAAAAAAAAATTCTTAAACAAATGTTAAACTTTAGATTTTCATATCTTTGATTATAAAGCTGTTTATGTCATTTAAGTGCTTGTCGCACCTCCACTAAACTAAATTTCGTGAGTCTAACTTGAGACTTGCGACGTCAAAATCTCCACTGACACTGATCCTTTCTGTTACATGCACAATAACTAAATTGACATTGTTTTACCCAAAAACTAGCATATTTTCTAACGTTAAAAAAAATTTCTTCTAAAACCTGGAAATCATCCATTAAAGTGTTGGAATACCTGGAAAACTCAGGGAATTTTATTTATAAAAATGAGTAGACACCCTGCTATTGTTACTCGTACCTCTGTCGGCACCCCGGGAGATAAGGATAGGAGCTACTTGTCAAGAGGCTGAGGACCACATTGGGATTTTTATTATACCTGCATGTAACTGAAGTACCAATGGTATGCATTGTCCACCACCACCACCACCACCAGCCAACTTTGACTTCTGTACAAAAAGTTATTAATTATTTACTTTTGACCCAGTAGACGCGTAGCATACCCAACGGTGTAAATGAAATCTGCGAGCTAGCACTTTAGGGTTCCCCTTTAAATGCTGAATGTTAAAAGAAAATCTTCCACGCTCGTTCTAAACCAAAACATGCTACACAACGATGAGTTTATGAATGAAGGAGTTCAAATATATTAAATCAAATTTCACACCCCTTAGGTTCATCCATCCACCCGATAAGAACAACATTGGAGCCCAGGTCCGTATGGCAGCGCAGTGTTGCCATCTAACGAGCGTCCTAATCTCTATTGCCGACGAGCTATGGCGGGTGCCAACCCGACTCATTGATCAAAGCAAAATGATCAACAAAAATGGGCAGGTAACGTTAAAACAGCAAATATTCTCCCGAATTTCAAACTAATGAATATAATTTCCCTTGCAGCCAAAACGTCAACTGACCCGCAAAGCCAAAAATCCTCCTTCGAGCAACGGTGACTTTGTCATCGATACCAACCATATTCATAGATTGGTCATCTGAGTGCAACACGGTTAAAATAACCGAGAGATATCGAACAATGACTGTTAAGTCCGGCAACATTTCCATTTAGCTTTACACTTCACCAGCAATCAGAGCCTAATTTTAGACTGTTTGACCGTGCCGTGCTGCCGTCTGCACTGGTTTAAAATTTATAAACACTGTCCAGAGAGTAAATGTATTACTACTTACAATAACCGTAATGCTATAAGTCGTATGCTTGAGTGGGAGTATAGTACGTCAGATTGCATTTTGTTGCAGTTCATTTTATTCTCACTTGTTATAGCTTAGTTTATACACAGACACGTATCGATAATTATCTAAGGATTGAATGGTTTGTTTTACCAAGTGTGCGCGTGTGGCTTTGCCTTTCTCTTTGTGCTTACCGATAATTGCTTTAAACGATAATAATTATTACCCAGCGGAGAAAGTACGTGTGTGTTCTAGATTTACCAATTTACCTATCCATACTCCTCGATTCCGGCTGAAGTGAGAGAGCACTAAACTAAAATTAGATTAATGGGATTCCCGCTAAATTTAACCTCAGATGCATTACACAAAGTTTGGGAGCTATTCCGGCAGCCATATAGTCAAGAAATGTATTGTGCTGCTTGCGTGTCATGTCTTATAAGGTAGCCGTAGTAATGGGTATTCTCAAATTAACGGGAGAAACTGGAGCATACGTAACTTACGTCAATGAATGATGATAGTCATTGTAATCTTTATTTATTACGGTGTTATAGTCAAAGATTGTATATACTGGAGAGGCAGTTGAGTTGTGATGTGTATATATAGGCGTGCAAATGAATAAGATGAAATAAATGTGTACCATGATATTCTTCGTAAGCCAGTTTTAGTACTAGCACAATATCACATACGAAATCTCGTTCCATCACTGCAACAGCAAGTAGGTAAAGTGGGGTTTCATCAAATTACATTCAAATTAAGTGATCCCCATAAATAGTTGAAATTCAGCATGGAAGAAGAGAGAAAATTAATGATTTCCAATAATTACCAACAGTAATCAAGAATGCACGTAGCCAAGTTCATAGAATAGTAAATATCTACCTTCCTTGGAACTTTTACTTAAAAATTTATGCGTTAATTTACTGTAAAATCAATAAACAGTTCATTATTTCAACCTTACTATACCTAGAATCGCATCCCGAGCAAAGTCCAGCATCAAAATGACAGTAAATTGAAATCAAGTGTTGATATCAACATCAAACTGAAATCATAATTTGATTTCAGTTTACGCAATTCACAAATTTGATACCAAATTTTGATTTCATTTTGCTGTACATTTGCTCTTCAAAAATATGTTGTTGCGGGTTTGTTTTCATTGCCTTAAAGGGTGATACGGTCAAAATTTGGTCAAGGGAAAACGCGTGTAAATCGGTGAAATCGTTTATTTAAAAAATCAAATTAAATTTCTTTTTCAAGTTCAATTAGTATAAACTTCAGGAAAAATATTCAGTTAGGCTTCCGCTTTTCCAAATCCGAATTGCCGGGCCTTACGCTTGACCCCTGCCATCAGATTTTGTACAGCCACCTTGTCCACCTTCTTCGCCGCAGAAAGCCAGTTTGCCTTGAACTGCTGCTCGCCCTTAGCAGTTTTTTTGGTCTTCTTTAGGTTCCGCTTGACAATAGCCCAGTATTTCCCAATTGGGCGGAGCTCTGGCGTGTTGGGAGGGTTCTTGTCCTTGGGAACCACCTGCACGTTGTTGGCGGCGTACCACTCCATGGCCTTTTTACCGTAATGGCAAGATGCCAAATCCGGCCAAAACAGTATACGGAACAACCGTGTTTCTTCAGGAAAGGCAGCAGACGTTTATTCAAACACTCTTTCACGTAAACTTCTTGGTTGACAGTCCCGGAAGCTATGAAAATGCTGCTTTTCAAGCCACAGGTACAGATGGCTTGCCAAACCAGATATTTCTTTGCGAACTTTGACAGTTTCATGTGCTTGAAAACATCTGCTACCTTTCCCCTTCCTTTTGCCGTATAAAACTCCTGTCCCGGAAGCTGCTTGTAGTCGGCTTTGACGTAGGTTTCGTCGTCCATTACCACGCATTCAAACTTCGTCAGCATCGTCGTGTACAGCCTCCGGGATCGCGCTTTGGCCGACGTATTTTGTTTATCATCGCGATTTGGAGTCGCTACCTTCTTGTAAGTCGATAGTCCGGCTCGTTTTTTGGCTCGATGCACGGTTGTAGACGATACACCCAGCTTATTTGCGGCATCTCGGAGAGAGAGGTTAGGGTTTCGCTTGAAACTACCGGCAACTCTCTTTGTCGTCTCAGCGGCTTCCGGTTTTCGATTTCCCCCCGATCCAGACTTCCTGGCTGTCGACAAACGTTCCCCAAACACTTTAATTACATTTGTAACGGTTGATTTGGCAACTTTTAGCGATTTTGCCAACTTTGCGTGCGAGTAGCTCGGATTTTCGCGATGCGCGAGCAAAATTTTGATACGCTGCTCTTCTTGCTTGGACGGCATTTTGACAACTGAAGAGTGAATTCCAAAATCAAAATAGGAACAACATTCTACACACACACACCTTCAAAATGAGGGGTGTTCAGGTTTTTTAAATGCAAAATTGAAAGAAATACGTCAAGTTGATATTGACCAAATTTTGACCGTATCACCCTTTATCATAACATCAAATTGAATACTTGTTATGTTATCAACATGAAAAATTGATATCAAATTCAGTTTTCAGTTTGCTCTCACTGATAGCAGAAATAGTTTTCAATGTGATGTCACAGAAAGATTTTTTTGCTCTCAATTTTGATATTTTAACCGTTAAAACGACCAAAACGACAGCAACCTGAGTAATCATTATCAGCGAAATCACAACATCAAATTTAGATTTCATTTTGATCTCGGACTTTGCTCGGAATATCAGTCGCATGTGGGTTTTCGTCAATTTTGAGATAAGGGTTGATGCATAATTATTATGTCACGCTCTAGGGGTGGGTCTAAGATTTTGTGACAAGCAATGCATTAGGTATAGAAAAAACGTCACGATAGGGGGGTAAATTTCTCCTCGATTTAGCGTGACATAATTAATACATGGGCCCTAACAACGCTATACACTATCACTTGACATCTTCTTTATATTGTGTGACGATCGTGAAAAATGTTAAAACAACTCCAAGTCAGTTTGTCCCATCAAGTAAAGGAATCGCACTAATCAGCCACGTTCTTAACATCCAGCGTCCAGAAGACAAGTCTGTTTTTTGAATGACCATACACGCAGAGAAAATTGACCTTATTGAACCAACAAAAAATACTATTGAAATATTTTGCAATGTCAAATATAACTTTTTTGGAATTCAATATTTATATTTTGTAGCTTCAAAAATTTTTGTTGTTGTTTTCATTACAAATTCTGAAAACAAATATATTGTAGATTCAATAAAATATATTTTTGTCTTCAAATATTATTTTAACTACTTAAAAAACATATTGTAAATTTAAAAGCAACACTTTTCCAAAACATACCATGGCTCATTTTGTCAGTGTATATGTGTGTTTTCAATGCTGGCGCATGCTCGGCTTCCCAGTCGCAATTTCTAGGCTTTATTTAAAACACAAAATTGACTCGTCGGAAGAAGTTCTTTTTGAGGAAGTGTAAGAAGTAAATGACGCGCTAGTCGATTTATTGCTGAGTTTTGAACTCTCGGAACAAGTTTTTTTTTTTTTTCCTTTGGTTTGTTTTTTCCGTCGATCTTGTTTTCCGTGCTGAGCACCAATGCTACCGACGTGCCAGGAAGGCAGCTCCCACATCTGGACCCTACCTATCGACCCATCAACTCATGAACCGGGGACCAACGGCTTTACTTCCCATCCGAAGGAAGGCGTGATCAGAGATGTTATGCCTCAGAACATCCCGGCGGCGCCGACTGGGATTGAACCCAGGCCTGCTGGGGTGAGAGGTAATCACGCTTACCACTACACCACCGGCGCCGTTTCGGAACAAGTTGTCAATTGCTTTCTTGGTAAGGAATTCAGTATTTGCATTTTAATGCGTGTTTTAACGATTTTTCCCAATTCCAGCAAATCAATACACCGTGGAAACGTTGAAAATTGTCGAATGAAAGGAAATTGAAGAATTAATACCACCGCTATTTCTTGCTGAACGGACGAAGTGCATTATATGGATTAAACGCTTGGAAAAAAGGACAGGTAAGATTGTACGGAAAAATATGTCTCATGACAACAATTCAGACTCAATTATTACCAAAGGGATTACCGTCGCTATCGTCAAACCATCGGACAGCACCGCGGCTTCATCGCAGCCTTTAAAAAAAATACAGCTTAAAATCTTACTGGAGAACGATGCAACGCAAATTACTTGCTTAACGCTTCATCAAAAGGTCGAGCCATTCTTCAAAAATGCCTAAAACAGACATTTTTATCAAGAGCTGATAAGAGGACCATTACTCACATCGTTGCTGATGAATTCAAGGATCGATTTGGAAAATTAACCCCATCTGAGTTACGAGACAGAGCATCCGAGCTAGGAAAGCTATTTCCAGGAGAGCCAGAGGTAATTTACTTTTCTTCGTAGATTCAAAACGGACATAAATCGATTTTTAAAATACCCCCCGAAATAAGTGTCAATTATAGTTGGAAAAACTAATTAAATGAAGATTAAATTAATATTCTTAACTAAGACGGATGGTACCAGCCTACATTCATCAAAAACGGTGCGGGTCGAAAAATCAAACTTCTAAAACAGGCTAATGGACGACTATACGACAGGAATATCAACTACAGAGAATTGAAGATGATCAGGATGACTTGCAGCAACCGTCAAAATCCGGTGTTAAGCCTTTTGAAGCGGAGAAGATAGTTTCGGAACAGCAAGATAAACTGATAATATTATTGCCGATAAAAAATAATTTGCTAACGTTACATTATTTGACAGCTTCAGAATATCAACAAACCAAAGCCTGGTTCGTATGGTTCGTACACAACCATACCAAATTAGTCCAGATTGATTTTTTGCATACGTTCCCAGCAACCGTTAATGAAAGCTCATACTTCCGGTTTTGTAATTTTTGTATAATTGATAAACCTATTGAATCACTATTTGTACACTCGTTTGTTAATAAATAAAAAATGAAACAAAAAACAATTTTTAAATTTATTTAAAATTATTTCTTGAATAGAAAAACTGCTCAAATTAAAAATTAAATTATTTTAGCCAATCCAAATTTTTAAATTATAAAAAACAAATTGTTTAAACAAAGAAAGTTATTTTTGGTAGCGATTTATTTTTTTTTTATAAAAAAAAAAGATGTTGTCTGTTTGAAAATTCAATAAAATCTATTTTTCATTGCATTCTTGACAGATTTTGAAAACAACAATATTTTATGTCCGAACAATAAAGATTTATTGTTGAAGTCAATAAAAAAAGTTATTAGCCGGGGAATGATAATTTTTGTTGTTGTTTTTAATACATAAAATCATTGAAATTAAAAAACTTTTTTCTTCGTGTATTATTCGCTGATAAGGCTTAGATCTAATTTTGGTCCTACTAAGCAAAACCCGCCGTTTGGATTTTTTTCCAAAATGGACTGTTTTCACTGCAGATGCCTTCTAAATGTATTTACCCTTCCGTACGAACTGCTAGATTCGATAAAGAGTAATACATTGTTGAGATATTGTTAAAAATTTAACACTGCTTCTTAACCCCTAACTCGGCCGAACGCTGTGAAACGCCATTGAATTCACTTTGGCGTAAGGTTTTTGATCTAATTTCCATCATACTAAGCACAACCCGCGCTTTGCCCTTCTTTTTTGAACGGGTTTGAACAAAAAATGGCATATTTCTG